TTGACTCAGAGCTCTAACTTCGTTTTCTATAGCCGCCGCTCGTATCGTGGTTGTTTCTATCAGTAGCAGCCGCATCTGGAGTATAAAGTACCTATCCCGACGAGCACACTCTTTCTCTTCGTAACGAACTTCAACTTCTTGCAAAGACCAACAATTATGTCCTCCGAAGAGAACCCCCCCTCGGAAAGCCAAACCCAACCAGATTCTTACCTCGAGCACCCCCCTGCTGGGGCAAGCATACTAACAGGCTACGAACTGGGTGTTTATCCCCCCAATCACAACACAGCCCCATATACCCCGCCGCTCGAACAAAGTCACTTCTCCCAAGCCCTGCCCACTTCCGGCCGCGGTACGCCGGGCCAAAACTCGCCCTTCGCAAGTCCACCTTCTAGAGGCTCAAGGTCTAGGGATAGGACACCATCGTCCACCAGAGCTTTCCGCAACCGGGCCAGTAGTCTTCAGGGGAAGCCTCCTCCTCTGGAATGGAACGAGCTGAGGCGAGCGTGTTATGCGGTGGCACGTTTCGACAAGATGGTCAAAGAGAACCCTGCTGAATAGTTCCACTATCCACATTTGTGAAAATGGAAGACGATGAGAAGACTAGGGAGGAAGAGCGCAAGACCACCTTTTCTGAAGCTTCCGAACTCTACAAGACTTGGGACACCAATTGGTCCAAGCCCCAAGAACTCGATGACGCAATCATTGGTACCATCTCTGAATGCATGTCAGAGCCTTCGGAAGAAGACTTCCTTCAGAAATGGCAGGAGATGACTATGGGGGTTGAATCGAGTAGTAATGTGCGACAGGCATGGATGAAGGCCTAGGAGCGAGGTGGTATCATGTTTGTTGTGGAATGCAGCTTGACTTGTGCAGTCTTTGTGAGGTGGAAAAATGCGAACAGCTGATACATATAATGTGTCCTGCTGGTCCAGTGCAACGTAGCGCACAACGCTGGGTGTCCGGTCTTTCCGTTATCACAATTTGAAAGCCACCGATTGTCCAAATTGATTAGGACAACCGGACCACCATTGCTGACGGTTGAAGTACCATCTTCAAACGTGAGGGGGTTGGCCAGGTAAAGTCTAGTCAGGGGCCGGGCAAAGTATAGAAATGCACTCAGCACCGTGGCGTCATTAGTCATACTGTTTCTGTCCATTTGCAAGACGGGGTCGTTGGCCACAATGAGAACACCTCTCTGTAGCGTGCTAGCCATCCGCACACCCCATTTTGCCTTCGTCTCCGTCTGCGCCTCGGTCTCCGTTTCTCTTTAGTGTCCTTGTCCCGTCTTGCCTATCTTACCTTGTGTACTCGCGTAACGTAGACCGTACGCCAAGCTCTTCCGTTACGGACATTGCTTCATACATTGTCTTATCCTATTGTTCTAGACCTTTATCCGTGCTCCGTCTTGATCCGTGCTCTTATGCGTCCCGCAGACCTTACGTAGTTACGTCAAGACTCTCATGTATATAAGGAGACAGCTGGTGCTAGGACTGAGATTCAAAGAATCCTTTTGACTCTCCTTCCTCACCCCTTATCCTTCTTCCGCCTTCACACACCACTTCTGCCTTCAAGACCGAGCGCACACACCTGTCACTTGCCCAAACACCTGGACTAAGCCCACATTACACTTGGTGTTTGCTACAGCTGTTCCCCGGGACAGGTCTGATCACTACACTCTCCATCCGCATCTATGGCTCCTCCTAGTTTTACAGAGGTAGTCTTTTTAAAGGCAAAAAAAGGAAGAACCGATTCATACCTCGCTATAGCGCGCACTATCGTCGCTTCACATTGCTTCGCATTCTTCTCATCCGGACATCGAAGAGTCTATAGCCGCTGCTCTTCTGTCATTCAGAGTACTCTAATTGATTCCACTCTGCCTTCGACCACCAGCTAGGGTCCCTGCATACATGGTCTTCCACTCTGCCTCATCCGGTTCGTAGCGGCAAGTGAAAATAGTTTTAGCAACCACATAGCTGAATTGAGGTTTACCGTTCTCTTCAAAGCTCGTGAAAGGAGGGTTCCACTCATCATAGTACGAAGCGGCTACCACAGATTGTTCAGAATAGGTGGGATTCAGCTCTGAGGGGGTGGTGTAGTTGAGCGCGGCGAAATTGTGGGCCGTTTGCTATCAACACATCATTGCTGGTCAGATCAAGTATAAAGTGTATATTGTAGAAGGGGCAGAACACTCACATCGTGCACTTGATCTGTAGGCTCCTCCGCGGCGTCATCCACCTCACAGATAAAAGTCCAGCAAGCCTGTCTCATATCCTGCCAATTGACGACGCTCATCTGCTTTTGGCCATCTTCGGCCTCGTCCTGGGCCCAATTAGCTTCCGGGGCGGCAGGAGCAGTGTCTTCAGCGGACGTGTCAAAGGTTGAGGGGCCGAAACCGAGACTGACGCCGCCGGGTAGGGCAAAATCGTCTTCTTCTTCTCTGTCTTGAGACATTGGGTTCTGTGGTGAGTTTTTGCAGACGGGACGTGGGGTTGGGGGTGGTATATTATGCTCAGAGAAGAGCGGAATCATATGAATAAGCTGTGCTCTAGCTCCATTTACGATCCCTCTTAGTAGTGGGCTGAGATGAAAGATAGTGACTGGAGGAGAATCGGAGGGGATAGGCAGGAGACGTCCTTTTAACTGGGAAACTCGTTTAGCCGTGACGCTTCTTGTTTGGAGGACTTGCTGTATGTTTAGCCGCCTTACATCTAACCTTTCATCCTTCCTTTCTCATTCAAAGTACCAGTGCATGGAACCACACAGCGGCTGATGCCCTTTGCCAATTGGACGACCGCCCCGTAAGGTGACAAGGCCCTCAGGAGCGAATGCAAAGCGGCAGTCTTCTTGATGGCTGATAGCTTTCGCAAATCATAAAAGTAGCCTGTTGAGCTGGTATCCTAGCCAAGCTGCACAAGCATCATCAGCCTTCCATGTATGGCCCCAAAGTCTATAGCCTTTGACCTCGGCTGTTCAAACATCAAAAATACCTGATTTGAGCACGGCAATCACCCGCTACTCCTCCTCCTCCTCCTCCTCCTCCTCCTAAAGCCGAGCTTTCATCGCAGCATATTTCCTTTCCCACTCTTCCTGGTCCGGGTCGAATGGGAAAGTAACAGCCGTATTTGCCACCACGTAGCTAAAACCAGGCCTCCTATTCTCCGCAAGACTACTGAACGACGGGTTTCACGCGTTATAGTATGATGCTGCTACTACAGACGTCGCTTCAGAGTCGGCGAAGTTCCGCTCTGAGGGCTCTGAGGGTGTTTGGGATTTATTAATCTCAGCGAGATTTCGGATCGCTACCTACAATCGAAAAAGAGTTAGGATGGGCGAAAACGCATGAAAAGAAGGCTGTAGCGAGTGAAGATGAGGAGGCTTGGCTTACGTCAGGAATCTCTTTAAAAGGCTCCCCTTCCACCTCAACAATAAACGTGGTAAAATCTGTCCTTAGCTCCTGCCAAACAACTGGGGTGCTGGTGATCGGCTCCTGATCATCTTTTCCCTCAGCACTTGCTGGTTCGTCATCAGATTCCAGGGTAGTGTCCTTCTCAGCGGAGGCGTCACCGAACGTTGAGGGACCGAACACGAGATTCATTTCGCCGGGAATGGCGAAAGGGTCCTAATCTTTTTCTACGGACATGCTGCCTTCTTGAGACATTTGGCTCATGAATCGTTTTAAATGTGTTCCGAAGATGAAGATAATAACTTGGCGGGGGGGTACAGCAGCAGTGCGTATACTTTCCACTATGTATATTCGCACTCTCTATCGGTATCGAGGAAAAGATAGGACAATGAATAATGATCACCCCGACGATGGTGTCTTCCTTCTGACCGTGAAGGTCGGTTGATATATATATGTATATATATTTATATGATGTAGATCGATTCTTCGCGTCGTATTCCTACCGGTGTAGCCTCCTTTTTCTAGCTCGGCGTAGATGATGAAAGATATGCGACTCCAGGAGAAACACAAAAGCTGCCATGTCCTAAATATAACACTCAAACAATGCACCAATGCTGCTGCCCATGCCACATGCATAAGCCGCACTGGTGAACGTTGACTGAGCACCACCACTGTGACGGGGTAGGGCCTGTGTATAAGGGGAGTGCCTGTCGGGATAGTCGGGGACTAGTTGAGTGAAGACACGTCGGGGTCCACGACCCCGTGTCGTTGTCGTGGTCGACGGTCGGGAGTGACGGGGAGCCAAAGGGTATATATAGAGAGCTGCTGGACAGTAGAGATAGCTTCCTATGTCACTTATAATTATCTTCTTTTACCTACACCACTCATAGCCATCCTTCCACTTTACCCTCCTCACTCAATAACCTCGAAGGCAACTCTACAGGCGACAGCAGAACCGAAACGAAACGTGATTGAGGCTATCTGTTCTTCCAACTCTCTTGGTTGAACCGACAACTCTCCATAACCACGCATCGTGTCGACAAAAAATCAACCTTCATGAGATCTTCTACTTTCTTATATCCAGCAGATATTTAGCCCAATGATCATATATTTGTCTTTCAAGTTAGAATTCTAATCATTAAGACTGCAGTGACGAGTTGAGTGGCACAGTTGATGTGATAACGTGATTGCAGAACTTCGAAGGCAGAGGTCAGCCCATGGAACGCATTCGGGTCCATATGTAATGACGGTGTGAGTTAGCCATATAATTGGCTACCCATGAACATCATGGGTACGCTCCATGGGAGCGAATACAGAATGGAAGCTTCAGTGGCGAGATTGGTTACACACAACACATCAATTTATTTCCACGTCGTCGTCAATGGTCAATGCATTCAGGGAGTCGCGATAACCAATATAACGACAAGTATGCTCTATAAGGTGCCATCACATTTTGTGTGTACCTTTACCCAATGCACTCACATTTGTACGACCTACTTCAGTACAGTATGTACGGCGTGCATGTTGATGTGGCGCCTCTTTACGTACATTGCTTCACACGCTTATAAACTACAAAAAATCAAATTTGCAAAAATTATTTCCGTTAGCTCAGAGGTCTAGAGCTGTGTGCTTATGCGGTTACCATTTCTCACACCGGTCGAGGGTTCGACTCCCCCACGGAAAACATTTGTTTTTCCTTTTTGTCTTCTTTTTCCCCCTTTTTCTTCTCTCTTTGAATTAATCGTACATACGGTGAAGATAGAGCCTTTGCGTATAAGTGGTAGAGCATCGTTTACTATGCTTGCTTTGTTGATCAAAAGCAGGCATTCCAGGCTTGCAGCATTTTAGCATTTCAGCAACGGCCATGTCCGCAAAAGCAAAGGTCAAAACAACACGCGCATCGGGACTGGTTTTGCTTTCTTTTCAGACCATCTCGCCCCAATCCCAATAGTCATGGACCGCAGCGTACTCGGATCATCAACTGCCCATAGAGCACCCCTCGCATCCCGCCTTCCCGCCCCCAACACTGCCCCAAACGTCCGCTCGTCCCGATCCAAGTCTGTCCAGGTCGCGGGTGTTAAAGGCGCCGCCGTCTACGAAGATGACTCGGGGAAGGGTACCAAGGGCAAGAATGAGATGGTGAAGAACTTGGCTAGCAAAGATGAGGGTGTGGTATTGAAGAAGCTCAAGGCGTTGGAGAAGAGAGTGGAGTGCAACGCCCAGGTCAACAGGGATAGATGTGAGTTTTGGTCAAGGCGGGTTGAGCTGTACTGATAGTCTACTAGTCACTTCTTTGGACGAGCGCCTCACGCAAATTCATCTCCAACTTCACAGTCAAGCCACGCTGTCGAATGCTACATCTTCCGCACCCCTTTCCACCCCTACGAAATCCAACCCCGGCACCAGCGCCTCGGCCATCCGTGAGGGCATGAAGAGCCCGCCAGTACCGGCTTTGCAGAAGAAGATGGACGCGTATGTGGAGTGGGAGCGGAGCATGATGAGCGGGGATATTACGCTGTCTGGGATAGACGATGCGGAGGAGGAAGAGGATGACATGCAGACGGTGCAGCGTGAGAACGAGGGACTAGAAGGTGAATTTCCTTGTCGCGTCCCGACTCAATATGCTGACGATGAGACAGAAATGAGGGAGAAAATGGCCCAACAGCAAACTCAAATCGATGCTCTAGCTGCGCAAAATGCCAAGCAGACGGAACAAAGTACGTCTGTTTGACAAACTCGACGATGCCTAAGCTCACAAACATCGCAGTTGCCTACCTCTTTTCCAACTTTTCCCAGTCCCAACAAACCATCGAAGCGCTCCAATTCGATCTGGCCGTTGAGCAAGGCAAAGTCGCAGACCTGGAGGGTAGGCTTGAGGTGATGATAGAGGAGGCGGATGATGTGAGGGACGCCAGTCTACTCATTGTGTGTACTGCCGAATCGTTAGACATGCGGAAGGCTGACTCTGCATTCAGGATACCGTCCCTGAAGCGGAGGACATGGGTGTTGACGAGAGCGATACATCCCACAAGCGCAGGGCTGAAGATGACGATGGCGAAGGTGAGCCCCTGTCCATGTCATGTCGTCCTTCGGCTTACATTGTCAAGCTCCGTCGAAACGAATGTCGCTATAGATTCCCTGATCTCTCCTTTACGAATTTGCCACGACGTATCAAGTATGTATGCCCGTATAATGCTCACCCTTTCATGTTCCCTGTCTCGTCTTGTCTCGTGTCGACTTGGACATTGCCGGGCCTCAGGCTGCTAGACATTATCATCCTATGTCATCTCTAAATCACTCATATCACTCATAGGAGGCTTTCAAGTAGCTCGAGCCTGATCGAATACGCGTCAGAATTGCCAAAGGATCTACCAAACTTGAGTAAGTCGAGCCACCCATCAAAGGATGACCTACTGACTCAACAGGCATTTAAAGACCCCTACCAACGCTATCACACGTTCAATCCCAACCCTCAACCGACTCATCCATCTTCCCCTTTCCCATAATTATCACGACATTTCTTTCCCCCAATCCATCACCACTCATACTTCCACCGCCGCATTCTCATCCCAGACTATATCCATTATGGCTGCCGCTTGCGTTGCTTCCCCTTCCAAACACTCCCACCCCGCCCACTACACCTACCTCTCCCCTCCCGCCCCCACTCCCGCCATGTTCGCTTCCACTCCCTCCCTCCCCGCCCGCCGTAATTCCAAGACTGTCCAGAACCTCCCCAACCCCGCCCCTTCCTATGCCGCCCTCCGTGGCATGCATGCCTACGCCCTCAAGTATGTCATCGCCCGACTCCGGTGGGACCAAAGCAACAACATGTACCTTCCCGGTCAGGATGCTGTTTGGAACCATGATCAGGTCATTCACGAGTTGGAGGATGAGTTGAAGGATGTCGAAGACGCGCAAGAGACGCTGGACCAGTGGCCGAACGTTTTCATGCCTGTTTCGACCCCGGAGCCGCATGGACCAAGGACGAGGGAGCAGGACGAAGAGATCAGGAAGCTGGAAGAGAAGAAGGAAGCGGTCGTTGACGCCAAGTTGAAACAAGCTTTCCCTTACCTCGACCAACTCTTTATCGGTCCCATGACCAAGGATCAAGCCGCCAAAGACAAGCTCCTCCGCGAACAAATGCGCAATGGCTGCTTTGACAATGTGACCTACCTCTTGCCGAGCGAGAACAAGAGACTGGCTTTGGAACACCATCAGAAGAAGGTTGCTGCGCCAAGAAAGAGCTACGAGCAGAAGAGGATGGAAAAGGAGAGGGCTAAGGTTGCTGCCTACCTCGACGCTCACCCTCAGGCTCCTCGTCAAGTCGCTGGCGCTACCACCTCCGCCCCCGCCCCTGCCCCGCCTGCCAACACTTCCAAGCCCGTTGGTCCCCTCACCGAAGAACAAGCTCTCGCCGCCCACCCCAAACAAGGTCCCGCCACCAAAGATCAGGTGCTTTACGAGGTCCAAAGACGACAGAGGCAGCTGATTTTGGGCTGGCTTCACAAGCCTTGGAACAAGTATGATGAAGAGGCTTCCGGGGTGATGGAGAAGCTTGCTTTCATGGCGAGGGATAGGCTGGAGGATCAGAAGAAGGCGGTGGGGAAGGCTGAGGAGAAGGCTGGTGAGGAGATTGTATTGCAAACGAAGAAGGAGGCTGCTGAAGAGGCCAAAGGGGTCAACGTAGAGGCAAAGTGAAGGGTTACGACGTGTAGAGGTTGTACAATACAATGCAGGCCATCCTAAATCATCACATGTCATTTTGCATTGTGTTCAGTTGTGTATACGTCGAGAGACTGGCAACCACGTGCTCGTACTGGAGTACAGACCACAGTACAAGGACAGCCGGATGTGTTTGAGTAAAGGATATTTACCCCACCAGAAAACATCGATGAAAGCAAGAAAGAATAATAGCCCCGAGGACGCTATACCAAAAGCTTCAGCAGGTCCTCCACCTCCTCCATCTGCTCCTTCAGCTTGTCGTCGACGCCTTCATCAGTCGAGACGAGTGACGCATGATGAAAGCCTATGATGCACAGGCTACCGTCTGCACGCCGTCGGATATGACGGGGTTTGATACCACCGTGAACGACCCGTACGCTATGCAAGGACTTGTAGAGCGCCTGTATGAAGAGCCTGAGACTATTGCCTATCATCGTTGACAAGTCACTGTGCGGTGCAACTCACTTTGACCCGTGTGGGAGCAAACGCAATTAGTTGTCAAAGCGGCAGACAGCATCGCCCAGCTTCTCCAAAAGCATAAAGTGGAAATTGGCAGGGTAGAACTCGTCACTGAGATACAGAAGACCTTGTAGAGCACCGAAACATTGCGGCACGGTGGTACTTTGCAGGCCAGACAGCTTCCCGGCGAAGAGCCCTGTCTCCCGCTCCCAAGCCTCATCTGCCTCCACACGCGATCTGGACCTTGCCTCGTTGTCAGCATCGTTAAACGTTTCGGGGGACATGATCTTGATGACGAGGGGAGGAAAGTCATGAGATTGAAGGATGGGGACAGTAGGCGTGATGGGGTAGACATCGGACAGGTGCCCACTGTCGATCAATTGACCGATAGAGAGGGCGAAGTTGACGGCTGGGACATCATTGATAGGGGAGAGCACGGAAAGAGCGGAAGAGAGAGTCGTTGGGGGGTGGTTAGCAAGCGCAAAGGAGATGCTGCCGGGGTGTGTAGCGGGACAGGACGATCGCCCATAGGGAGACAAGAGGCACGGCCGCTGTCAATCCATCCGTAGATGCCAGAGTCGGATAGACCGACCGGTGCGAATATATGCTGTGGCGTAATGAGACCCGAAGACAAACAGCCCCCCCCAGTGAAGCTGACACGAGCCCACACAGGCTATAGTAAGTGATTGTCAGCGTTGTAGCCATTGATACGGAGTTCCAAGTCACTCTACGACTGTGATACCGCTGTCCCTGTGCGCATTCTTCCTGATAGTCTCTCAGCGCTCTGGCCCCGCTGTGCATGTCTTACTGTTACTCTCATCGTGTTTGCTGCCGGCTCCTTCACTACCTTGCTCTTTGGCGGCTGGACGTCGAGTCGGCAGGAGGATCACCATACTTGGCGTTTTAGTTGCGATTTTCGCAGATCTGGATTTGCGAGGCATGGTGGAAGCTGAAGATTCCCGTAACGGAGTTGGGGGTCTTACTGGGAGGGGGCAGGGGGGACATTTTCATCTGCAGCTGATTACAATAGTTGAATAGTTCGTTGCATCGGCATTTGGGAGCGCAGATTTGGTCCCCTTTTGGAAGCCTATCTTAGTATTTACTTTAGGCATGCGGTCCTATTGGCGGCACCTCTACAGCTACATGTTGTGGTATCTAGGCTTCCCCCAACCCATATCAAAAGCATAGTCGTTGCCCTACGACCGCGACATCATACAGGCCAGGACTCATTTTGTGTTACGTAACGTGAAACCCCGCGCGCATGCTCTGCAGCTGATCAGCTCCCAGCTGACTGGGTTGGCCCAGTGCTCATTGGAGCTGTGCCAACTGCCACGGAATAATTGTCAGCTGCCCATGTCGAGTCACATGGTGCATGCCGCTCGTACATAACATCTCGGATGCATCGCGCATCTCATATCTTTTACCCAGTTACCCACACACCACCACCATGCCTGCCCGCCTCGAGAAACAGGACTCCTCCCTCAAATTCGGTGTAGCATCCGC